CCTGGGGTAGAACCCCCCCCCCCCCCAGAAGAAGAGGCTGCAGGGCCAGGGATTCACTGAAGCATCTTCCCCGGGTACACCACCTTCCTGTGCAGAGCCAATCTTTTTTTTTTTTTTTTAACACTGGGCAACCATAGGGTCTTGCTGCAAACCCAGAGCCAGGTGCCTTCCTGTGGACATGGGGTACAGCATCATGGCCATACAGTCCCTGTCCCATTCCAAGGACCCTTTGACACTTTCTAGTTGAGGATACTGCTTATGGGATCTGGGAGGCCAGCCTGAGGAGGTGCCTCTGGATTGCTCAGAGCTCAGTAATCAATCTGTCTGGTTTCCCGTCCATGGACAGGGACTCTGGTGGGCAGGCGCCACGAGGTGGAGCCCTGAGGCTGGCCCAGGGTAGGCTTGGGAGGAACCTCACCCACAGCCAGTCTCCCTGGAGTACAAAGAGCAATTACTGGTTGGTCAGGCTCGACCCCAAATCCTAATCATAGCTGCTATTTCTTGAGTGCCAACAATGTGCCAGAAGCCGTGCTTACCTTTTATACAGTGTCTCACTTAATCCTCACACAGCTCTGTGAGGCAGGTGCAGTTATTATTCCTGCTCCACAGACTAGGGAACTCAGAGACCTGCATGGGGCTTGCCCAGGTCACACAGTCAGCCAGTGGTCTCTGATCCCAGCATCTGCCCTCACAGTCACGATGCTATGCTGCTACCAGTGATCCCCACTCAGCCCCTCTCCTGTCAGACCCTTGGCCAGTCAAATCCCAGATCTTCAGGGGGGCACTCTATTTGGGGGCATTTGGACATCCTAACCTCCTAGAGCCACTGTCTGAGCCACTGCCCTGGACTCCCTTCCCCCCGTCCCTCACCCAAGGTGTTGGCTCCAGCCTGGGCCATTCAGACCAGAGCTCTCAACAGGGGACTGGTGGCAGGGTCTGGCAGGGATCATAGAATCCTGTTTCCACTGGTTATAAACATGGGTTTTCCTGATCATGTTGGGGGGTCTAGAAGTGATGCAGCTAGGGTTCAGATGGCCACGGGTCAGACCTGGACCCCCACTGCTGTGACCAAGGAAATCTCACCAGCTGTGTCCATGAGCCCCTGACCCTGTTACTCCAATGCCTTTGTAGGAGTATTTTTAGCAGAACCTTTTTTTTTTTTTTTTTTTTCCAAAATAAATGTGAATTGTAAAAATTATCACTTGGACTCACAAGGTTTTTTGTTTGTTTGGTTTGGGTTTTTTGCTGAGGTTCCCCAGGGAACAAATGGGGGCTCCTAGAGATCCTCAGCAGGGTTGTGAAGCATGACTGGGAGTTTTCCAGGGCTGGGATTCGGGTTGGGGTTGGGTTGGGCCTGGGGTGGGGATCTGGCCTGGGCTGGGGAGGGGCACTGAATTGAAGCAGTAACTCCCAAGTGCTCAGGTGTAAGAGTCTGAGCTCTGCTGTCAGGGGTCCTAGAGTTTGAATACCAACTCTGTCATTTGTTAGCTCTGTTTCCATGAAGATGTCACATAAGTGCTGCAAGCCTCATGTTCGCGTCTGTAAAATGGGGCAATAATATCCAACTCTGAGAGCACAGTTGAGGATTAAATGAAATGAAGCATTTAGTGCTTGGCACTTGCAAACGTTAGCTCTCAGGGTTTTGCTGGGGAGGTTCAGGGCCCACGTCTGTCATGTACTTGGCTGTGCTCTCCGTGAGCAGGACAATGCCAGATGACAGGATCTCAATAAATGTTTGTCCAATAAATGTCAATTCAAGCTCTGCTGGGGGAAGAAAAAGGAAGGGGCGTTCAGGAAGGGGTTCGTGGTCAAATACATTAGGCAAATTTCGGACTTGGGCAAGTTGATCAGATTTCTTTACTTCAGGATAGTGCAGAGCCTTAAATATGTTTCAAATATATTTATAGTCAACTGTATAAATGTATAGTCAACTGATCTTTGACAGAGAAGCAAAGGCAATAGAATGGAACAAAGAGAGTCTTCAAAAAATAGGGCTGGAACAAATGAACATCACACACAAAACAATAATCTAGACACGGACCTTACGCCCTTCACACAGATGAGCTCAGACTGGATACAGACCGAAATGTAAAACATAAAACTATAAAACACCTAGAAGATAACATAGGCGAAAACCTAGAGGACCTCGGATATGGCGATGACTTTTTAGACACCACACCAAAAACACAACCCATGAAAGAAATAATCGATAAGCTGGACTTCCTTAAAATTTTAAACGTCTCCTCTGTGCAAAAGACAATGTCAAGAGAGTAAGAAGGAAAGCCACAGGGTGAGGGAAATATCTGCAAAAGGCACATCTGATGAAGGACTGTGGTCCAAAATATGCCAAGAACTCTTAAAATTCAACAATAGGAAAACAAACAACCTAATTAAAAGATGGGCCAAAGACCTTAGCGGACACCTCACCAAAGGAAATATGTAGACTGCAAGTAAATGCATGTTATCAAGGAAATGGCCAAAATCGGGAACACTGACACCACCAAGTGCTGGAGGGGACACGGGACTACAGGAACTCCCACTCATTGCTGACGGGAACCCTAACTGATACAGCCACTCTGGGAGACAGTTTGGCATTTTTTAACCAAACTAAACCCCCCTTACAATACAATCCAGCAATTGTGTTCCTTGGTATTTACCCAAAGAAGTTAAAGCCTTATGTCAACAATAACAAAAAGACACGCACATGGATGTTTATAGCAGTTTTATTCATAATTGGTAAAACTTGGAAGCAACCAAGATGTCCTTAGAAGGTGAGTGGATAAGTAAGCCGTGATACATCCAGACAATGGAATACTAAAGAGAAATGAGCTATCAAACCGTGAAGGACACGGAGGAAATTTACATACATAGTTTAAGTGACCGAGGCCCATCTGAAAAGGCTACATACTGAATGATTCCAACCACATGACATTCTGGAAAAGGCAAAACTATGGAGACAGTCAATAGATCAGCGGTTGCCAGAGTTTGGTGGGAGGAAGAGATATATAGGCAGAGCACAGAAGATTTTTAGGGCAATGAAAATACTCTGTAGGATACTATAATGGTAGATACGTGTCATTATACATTTGACCAAGCCCACAGAGTGAACCCTGATGTAAACTATGAACTTTGGGTGATGGTGTGTCGACGTAGGTTCATCAACTGTAACATGTCCCACTCTGGCGAGGAATATTCATAATGAGGAGGTTATGCACTGTGGGGCAGAACTTCACAAACATCAGCATGGCTAAAATTTTGCAGAGGTACGAAGCAATGCAACTGTCGAATTATTGCTGCTGAAAATGTAAAATGGTACAAGTGCTTTGGAAAACTGCACGTCAGTCACACCTAGACACGTAACCCAGAGAAATTAAAGCATGTAGTTAGCAAAAGAGCTATACAGGAATACTTTTTTATTGCAGCCCCAATGGAAACAACCCAAATGCCCATCGACAGATAACTAGATAAATTGTGATATATCCCTTGAATGGACTACTACTCGGCCATGAAAAGGAACGAACTACTGATATACGAAGACACGCCTGAACCTCGAAACATCATGCTGAGCAAAAGAGAATGGACACAAAGGACTTCACTGTATGATTCCATTTATATGAAATTCTGTAACAGGCAAAACTAATCTAGAGTGACAGAAAGAGCAGTGGTTGCCTGGAGCTGGTTACAGGGGAGGGGAGACTGCAAAGCAGTAGGAAATTAGTTTTGGGGGTGATGTGAATTTTCCATATCTTGATTGTGGTGGCGGGTATAAATATTTGTCAAAATCACAAAGCTACACCCTGATAATGTGTGCATTTCATTTTATGTAAATTATAACTCAGGTTGATTTTTTAAAGGCAAAACACAAGGCCGTATTTTGTCTTAGATTCAACAGACCCAGAAGTACTTTGTCAGCGTGCTGCTTCTAAATGCTTTAGGCTTCTGTACTTAGGTCTCCCTCTCCCATGGAGAACACACAGTTTGCAAACCGGCTGTGGTCTGGGGGCCACACTTTGAGCAGCGGCCCTCTACCCAACTTTGTCAACTACCCAGGTTCTCTGTTGGACATCCCTGGAGCCTTACCTTCCAAACCTAGGTTGGAAACGCTGGAAGGCGAGGCGGGGGAGGCTCGGGACAAGCCCAGGGTCACTGGGTCTTGAAGGCGGGCTTGCGCAGCAGCCGCAGCACCCGGTACGTGTTTAGTCCCGGCACGTCAAAGCCCGGGGACAGCCCCTGGCGGTTCAGCGGGTAGAAGTTGACGAGCTGCCCGTGCTGGGCCTCCAGGGAGAGCCAGGTGTCGCCGAGCGGCAGCGCGCACGGGAACTCTCGGGCCACGTGCAGCTGGAAGACGCGCCCACGCAGGTGGCGCAGCGCCAGGGTGCGGAAGGCGGGGGGCACCAGCGCCTCGATGCGGGG